TATAAATTAGTGTCATCAAAACATTTTCGTGTCCTTTGAATTTGCTGATCGTGATTTGTTCGTGTCCTATCACTGATTAGCTAAATTCTACAGTTCTAACTTGCGTTGTCCTTTGAATATATTTGACGATTTGGGATTCTTAAGCTTTTTATAACTTCAATTTACTGGTTCCAACCTCCCAGTCTTGTCTGTTTCTTCAGTCGTACTTCTTGACTTTCTTTTTAGATTTGATTATTTTTAACGCTTCCCTTATGTTTTGTATTTGCTGGGTTTTTGGTCTGTATAATTAGAAGAGTAATTGATAATATAGATCTGGTGTTGCCCCAGTTAGGATTGAAACAGGGAAATATAAGTACCATACATAACTACAACTACTCTGTCTGTCCTTTTTGAGTAGTTTCCTCACTGGAGTTAAAGAACTTATTTTCAATTTTTACGTGTGTTTGATGGTCATTCCAATCGGTTGATGGTTATGACATTTTGACTCTCTACATAATAGTCATAATCATATCAAACAGAACGTCTCTTGATTAATCAAATGTTCCTCCGAAAATCTGATAGCAAATGTATTTGCTGCAAATCATACAAAGCCGTCTTCTGTAATGAATAGGGTAAACACTAGTATGCTAGATACATTCACTGTGATGGGATGATTAAATGAATATAACACTTGATAACTTTTTCGTGTGTCGGAAGCACTTTCCTGGATTAATTTTCAACAGGAACGCTCAAACTGTTAACTTTCTGCTTCAAAACATCTATTTACATTACAAAACTTGTTCCTGTACTGTTATGAATCACAGTTTATGACCAAACTCAGAAAAGATTCGTCTAAATTCCATGTCATAAAATTTTTATTGTAACACTAAGTGCTACCTTGAAGATATGTTTGCTTTGAATAATCAAGAATTCTCTAATTATGCTACAGAAATTTACCCACTAAGGAACTGATTTTAAATAAAACTTACATAATAAAATTGAGAATGGAAATGGGGAATGTGTCAAAGAGACAACAACCCGACCATAGAACAGACAACAGCAGAAGGTCACCAACAGGTCTTCAATGCAGCGAGAAATTCCCGCACCCGGAGGCGTCCTTCAGCTGGCCCCTAAACAAATATATATACTAGTTCAGTGATAATGAACGCCATACTAAACTCCAAATTGTACACAAGAAACTAAAATTAAAAATAATACAAGACTAACAAAGACTAGAGGCTCCTGACTTGGGACAGGCGCAAAAATGCGGCGGGGTTAAACATGTTTATGAGATCTCAACCCTCCCCCTATACCTCTAGCCAATGTAGAAAAGTAAACGCATAACAATACGCACATTAAAATTCAGTTCAAGAGAAGTCCGAGTCTGATGTCAGAAGATGTAACCAAAGAAAATAAACAAAATGACAATGATACATAAATAACAACAGCAGTTAACTGACATGCCAGCTCCAGACTTCAATTAAACTGATTGAAAGATTATGTCTTCATCATATGAATATCAGGCACAATCCTTCCCGTTAGGGGTTTAGTATCATACCATCATAACATATATGAGAAGAACATAACCCGTGTCATGCCAACAACTGGTTTTTAAATAAATGTGTTTAGTTCCGATGCAAAGACCCTATAAGTGAATCAATATTAACGCCAAAATATGCAATCTTTAATGACCTGACAACAGTATCGTAACTATATCCCTTCTTAATAAGTCTATTTAAAGGTTTTGTTAGCTTCAGAGGTGAATACTGACATTTGTGTGCTTTATAAAGAATATTATAAACACACCAACAATCATCCTTTTCTAGATTTTGGATATTTCAGTTTCAGACGCGAAATTTACGATACAAGAGACGATTCGTCGTTTTTAATTGTTACTTTTACTTTTACCTTTTTTGGACGGTGACGTTCTTAGGGTCCTTCTTATTGTGTGTATATTTCTCAACTCGTTCGCTTTCTGAAGTGACTTTTTAGATTTCAATGAAGGTAATCTTTGTATAACTTGTAAAACATAAACTCAGTCAAAGATATAATTGCTAAGTCAGGAATTTCGTTACCACATATTACTTCAAACCTATATAAAATTCGTTCATAGATACAAAGATTTGGTTTGAGGGATTGGCTGTACAAACAGGATATCACACCCTACTACTAACGTTGATGTTATCTATAGAGCACGTAAATTTAGATTTTATACCTGTATTAAAATCCTTGATCCTTTTATTAAACTTATTCTGAAAGGTTATCAATAAATTGTTAATATGTTTTTCATTGGTATTAAACATGTATGGCTATACAGTTACGAACATTTCTGATCCTATATCCTGTCGCTACTTTAATTTTTGCATTGCACAATGCCATGCTTTTCTCAGACTGTTTATGACGTCTTTAAACTTATTCCTTTTGTTGTGTACTGATCGAGATTTTAGTGAGGGAAAACAGGGTTTATCTATTACTTGGAATTAACTTGGATCTATGATTACTTTTTAATTGGTAACTTTTGTTTGTCTTTTTATGGTTGTCTGTGTGCTTAGCACCGATCTGATGAGTCAAGATTTTTCCAACTGATTTTATAGTTTGATCTCATGTTGTACTAAAACACCGCTGTTAGAGGAGGATTAAGCGCTCACAAAAACGTTTACCCCCGCCAATATTTATGTACCTTCCGGCCAAGTCGGGAACCTGTAATTCAGATGTTTACGTCTTTGGTTTCTGGCGGATAGTTGTTTCACAGACAATCATATCACAGTTCTTATTTATACCTTATAACACTGTATATACATTTTGGGAACATATTTTGTATTTTCTGTGAAAATTTAAGATTTGGCACATCATGGCTGAGTTTTCTTTTTCATGTTGATTTTTTTAATATTTATTTTATGTTGCTGATTTTTTATTGAAACAGCATTAAAATTTGTGTTTTATACTCCGATATATATATGATACGTATTAGTTTGAATAAAGTGTTGAAATGTTATGTACTGTAATATTAAACTTATTTGTTTATATTGTCTGCATGTATATTTTTCGTCAAGTACCGAAACATCTGTTAGGTCTCTTTGCAGAATGGCAATTGTTTATGTATATTTTCTTCAATTACCAAAATGAATCTTACACTAGAAGAGGTATATGATTTAATCAAACTTTAGAAACTTGATTTGGCAAATAAAAATTACCATAAAACCGGTAGAGTGACGTTAACAGGTTATAGTACTTTTCCATTCATTCGAATCAATTCATTTGTTTCCCTTCATTGGTCCATCAGCTAAATATGTAGAAAAAAAAACTTTAATCGTTTAATTTTAAAATCCAGTAATTTGGTCTTTCTTGAAGAATATTTATTTACCATTAATTATTGGGAGCTGCTGTAAAAATTGTTATTCTACTTAAAAGAAAACTTGTGGTTTAGATTAAACTGCTAATGAATGTAACCAAGGTAGAAAGGTAATGTCGACGAATTTCGATGCTCTTTGACCGACTTTTAAGTACCTTAAAATTATGAAAATTTCCGATTGATCACGGTCCTCAATCGTAATGGAAATATCACTTTATCAGTTTCGTGCGTCCAAAACGCTTTTCGGGTTTCGCCTTCATCAGGAACGTTCAAATCTAAACTTTTGAAAACGAAGAATGTATAAAAAACGTTATGTGCTATATAACCAAAAGGAACCGAAAAAGATTAACCAAATTCATGTAAGCTCAACATTGCCTGATAGAGACGGAACCTTAGTTTCTTAGTTATTTCTTAATTTATCAACAGGGAATATAAGAAAAGATTGTTACAAATCATGTCAGCATCGAACCAAAGACTATTGAGACACTAGGGACTAACAGTCCACAAGCAGTGGTATCGACCAAATGCTAGTAAATGGAAATAGCACTTTTCTGGATCTACTTTCATCAGAAACGACCAGAGACATATAAACATATATATATATGTCTCTGAAACGACAAAACCTAGTCATTTGAAAGCCAGTGATGCATATTTCTATTTATTACAATATAATGGTAAGTAAACTCTATAGCAAGCCGTTTTACTATTCATTCTAACTTCAAGATATCTTATATACTTTATAAGATATCTTATAAACTTTAGAAGATATCTTATAAACTTTAGAAGATATCTAATAAACTTTAGTACATATCTTATAAAGTATATAAGATGTCTTATCAAATTTATAAGATATCTTATAATAAAGTATATAAGATATCTTATAAAGTATATAAGATATCTTATAAAGTTTATAAGATATCTTATAAAAACTAGATTATATAAGATATCTTATATAGTATATGAGAAATCTTGAAGTTAGAATAAATAGCAAAACGGCTTGCCATAAAACACCTATTAACTTGAATAAGTTTTCAGAATGACTCATGCGTTTCAATAAAGTCATAATATTTTTAAAAAGTTCATTGCTACATAACATTTTATCAAAATAAAAACATTATGTTAATATCAAGTTTGAAACTGGCATCCGAAAATCAGTTGTCGGAATAATTGTAGGCCTTACTTTATATACTTATATAATATATTTTATAAAATCATCTTCGTATATTACCATCATATATTAGTACCGTTGGGCAAATATTTAGACTTTTATATATTTTTCCTTATCTGCGCAGTATCGTCTATTCTAGTCGATCCGGGACACATTAAAATGGCTGGTTAATCTTTTTTTAGACTTGTATAGGTGAATGCTAATCATTCGATATAAAATTTCAATCTGTACCCGTTACAATCAAACTGTTACCATATCCGGTGCCACATACCTTTACAGGTTAACGATAGCAGGTGCCCGCAACATTTGAAATACATGTATTGTACTTCTTGTCAGATTTATGACAACTGAATAATTTAATAACTTTGGTCGGTTTTGTACATGACGATTTAAGACAGATCATTCATAATAAATACATAAAAGGAAAACTGTCAAGGGTTATGATTTTCCTACGACCGATCATAAAATCTAACTGTAATTAATGGACCGTTCCCATATAAAGTAAATTTAGGTCTACAAAAATTGTACATTTCGTCCGTGGACTGGGACTAATAATGATTTCTAAATTATTGCTTTTGGCCGTTGTTGCCTTTGGTGAGTGCTTATTATAACTGTTTAATTTAATGAAATATGGAATTTAATTTGATAAAGATCATTCTTATTATGATAATGTAAAACATTATTTTGTGTTTTTACAGAATTATTTTAATACGATGTTTTATTATTGTAGCTGATGTGATATTACATGGAACACCCAAATTTTTTATACAAATTCTTCATTGATTTCTTCAAAGAATATAGATATTCTATAAATTATTTTTTTAAAAATCATTTTCTATATTTATTTTTTTCGTATCAGCACATTAATACCAAACTATTGCAGATTTCTTTTGGGAAAATAAAGATGCAAAACTGCATAATCTTATTTTAAACACCCCTAATAATATGGTTAACTGCGAGATAGAGGTTTCGTACATGATATTGTCACTTATATTAGCTCGTGTGTTATGTGTGTATTCAAGATTTCAATAGATTTATTATACATTTCACTTTAATTTAATTATAAATTTATCTTACAGTAGTTTGAAATATTAAATTTAAATACACTACATTTAGTTATATTCGCACATGTCTAGTTTTGCAATATTGAGGAAAACAATTAGCACAGGGTACATTTAATATTACTTACTACAATACCAGAGGGACAACGCGAACCCAGTACTACGCTCAATATTTCGTAAGCTTGTTTCACGTAAAAAAACAAACAAGATACAACGAGACACATGTATCGTTTTAATTCAACAATCAATTGTGAAATAACTTTATTATTCCAAATATGTGATTTTCTATGGAATAAACTACATGATTTTTCTCGTAGCCAAAATATGTTTTATTGGCATTTTTTAATAGAGTACTTAGTAACATATCACAGTATCAATTCAATATGTTCCAGCTTTACGTTTCGAAAAAATAATTTCACTTCGGTGATGTTCGAAGGAATAATATTTTGAAAGTCGAAACAAAAACGAACAGTTAAGAGACCAAACAACGGGAAAAGACAAATATAAATTAAATATAAAAATAAGAAGATGTGGTATGATTACAATGAGACAACTCTCCACAAGAGACCAAATGACATAGAAATTGAAAACTATAAGTAACAGTACGGCCTTCAACGATGAGCAAAGCCCACACCGCATAGTCAGCTATAAAAGGCCCCGAAATGACAAATGTAAGCTACGGGATCAGAGACATAAAATCAATTTTGTCAAATTGAAATTTATGTCGGTAAAAAAATTCTGAGCTCAAACCAGTTTAATGATTACTTCGGGAACTATAAATGTTCTGTGGCAGATGTAATATTGTGACATACGCGTTTCATTTACTGTATTAAAAAACATTGAAGAAACCGAGATACCCTTACAAATTAGAAATAGCGTGCATTATGACAAAGATATTTAAAAAAAAATGTCACAATAAAGATTTGCCCTCATCAAAGTTGCGGGGCTTATGATCTTACCGGTTATTTTACGAACAAAACTATAACATTTTTAATATTTCATCTTTTTTAATTTTCCAATCAAGTTTCAAAATCCTCTTGTTTGATGTTAATGCATAAAACACGAAGTCTGTTGATTCATACATCTCAGTAACTGAAATTCACTGCCTTAGTTTTACGGTCACTTTCACGAATTGATTGACCGATACGATGTGTCGGCGTCTGAAATCACTAGCGACATGTTTTCGCAGTTATAGATCTTTTGATCTGATCTGTAATTTTACCGATTGTGTTCATTTTACGATTGTAACATTTTTACTGAGTTTGAATGCGCAAGGGGGATGATGCACACATAACAGAAGACGCACCCGGTCTTGCTCCTTTGAAGTTTGTGCGATTCCCTCAGTTTGTGTTTGTTACCCTGATGTATCTCTTCCTAATCGATTTACTAGATTTGAACATTGGTAAACTACTATCACCTTTATTTATTCTTTTGTATTTCAAAATTAAATATAAAGTCTTCTTTCTCTCTTTTTCAGTTGCAACAGAAGCAAGTGAGTATATATCAAATAGCAGTCTTTTCAATTTTCCTTTTTATTAGTTTTTCTTTTCTTTTCTTTCTCTATCTTCGTTTTTAAACGGCAATCAAACATTTGATACCGATTAAAATGCGCATGCACGACCAGGTTTGCCGAGGAAGTTAGATTATTTAGAACTTTTTTTGGGGGAAAAATAAGCGGGTCCAGTAAAATCGATCTAGTAAAAGTGTAATAGATAAGGTAATATAAAATGAAGAATTGTAGATGTAAAGGTCAGTATGTCAACATAATATATGCATGATTTTATATTTATGGCATGTTATACTGGACACTCTTTATAATGACATTGATGTAGTGTAAGTGACCTGTTTTGTTTTATATCTGTATAATTTCTCCATTACTTATTTTAGTTCACAAATAACTGATTTATTTCATCAGAAATAAACGTTGAATAAGCAAACTTATAGGTGTGGATAGGTACCAAAATAAAATTGTGATAACTTTGAGTCAGCATTATGGTGGATGTTACCATGAAAGATAAAATAAGAATGGAAGTTTAAAAAAAATGCTTTGTTTTGTTATTAGTTAGAAAAAAAACGCATTGCATTAACATGCCGGAAATTTCAACGTGTGCACATTTTCATAAAAAAAAGTGCTGTTTTAGGCGGCACTGCATTAACAGGGGGAGATTTCAATGTGTGCATATTTCCACAAAAAAAATTTTCTTCCAAATTATTAATTCTATCTTTTTTAATTTTTATATTGTAATTCCGTTAGAGTGTTATATATGCAGTTTGTGTTAAATACACAACTCTCCCATTATAACAAACCTATTTAGAATAACGTAATTTAATTATAAGACTGGTGCAAACAATGACAAACTTTTTCTTTTTTTTAATTTTCAGGAGGACCATGGTTTGGTCCAAGATTTGGCCCAAAGTTTGGACACACAACATTCATTAAGAAAGGTGAGAAAAAAAAGAATGATGTATATATATAAAAATAAGAAGATGTGGTATGATTGTCAATGAGACAAATCTCCACTAGAGACCAAATGACACAGAAATTAACAACTATAGGTCACCGTATGGCCTTCAACAATTAGCAAAGCCCATACCGCATAGTCATCTATAAAAGGCCCTGAAATGACAAATGTTAAACAATTCAAACGAGAAAACTTACGGCTTATTTTATGTACAAAATAATGAACGAAAAATGGTGTAACAGTACAACAAAAGAACAAACTATAAAAATCAGTTGAAAAAGGCTTAACTCATCAGATGGATACAAAAAGAAATACATCTAACAAAAACACAGAGTGGACTTGGCAGGGTACTTATACATCCCCACAACAAAAAGACACTAAGTACAGACCTGAGAGTACTCACAGTTACTGGCAGTTAGTTCAAAGCCAATACCAACTAATAAAAAAAATCATGCATCTAAGACTAAAATGCCTGTTATTCTGAGGAATACTTACAATACTCAGTATATTATCAATTGTCCACAATAAAAATGAGGTTCGCTCTAAAGAAAAACTTTAATTCATTACAAAATAAACCAAACAATATGGTAATATCAATGAATGTAGCCAATACTCAGGAGCCTGGTTTTTGTGAGTATCCTAAGATGTGTAATAAGTTATATCTTAGGACAAATCTTATGACAATCATATGAATATAATATTTAACAATAAGATTTATGACATATCGTGACTCGAGACACTTATCTTAAGACTTTGACATGTCCTAAGACATTCGTAAGACATGTCTTAGTTATAAGATACTTTCGAAAACCAGGCCCCAGAATATCAAAGGGTAAGGTTGAAAACAGAAGTATACACTACTTTGATAATCAATGAAATTAGAAATGCATAAAAATATTCAGTGTGTGTACGTTTTGTTACAGAGAAATACAAGAAAAGTTTAAGAACAATGCCGGACTGGTGATGTGTAAACGAAACATTAACTTTTACAGAAATTTCACTCTTTATCTATAAATATAGATTACAACCCTTCTGTTGTAAAAGAGAGGCAAACGATACCAAAAGGATATTCAAACTCATAAGTCGAAAATAATCTGACAATACAATGGCAAAATAACGAAAAATCTTCAAAAGACAAACAACAGTACACAAAACACAACATAGAAAAACTAAAGACTGAGCAACATGAACCCCACCAAAAACCGAGGGTGATCTCAGGTGCTCAGGAAGGGAAAGCAGATCCTGTTACACACGTGGTACCCGTTGTGTTGCTCGTGTAAATACAAACCAAAATTTACACTCAGCTGTCAAATTTGAGAAAAACATTGAGGTGGAAAAGACGAGCATTTGTATAGCTTTAGATACAATCAGTAAAGGAAATTTATGAATTTATATTTAAAAACTCTTTTTTTTATTGTAGTCCCAGTTCGTAAGTATTTCTATCTTTAATCTGCTCATGACTTTTCATTCAAAGTTAAACAATGTACATGAAGTAAATATAAGCTATCGACCGGCTTAAATATATTAAACATGTTTGTGTTATTATTAACCTTTTGATCGTGTATTTCTTTTACTATATATATATGCGTTTCTATACTTTTTAAAATGTTTAAGAATAACTAACGATATTTGTGAATATTGTTTTTCATTTCATTTTAATATTTTGTACTGACATTTTGCTTCTTCATAATAACTTTGTTTCTGCAACTTGAATTTTCAAGTTACGAATATTCATTTCAAATTCTGATGTAACGATATTTAAGGAGAACGGAGGATATGTCACGTCTTTGAAATGTGCAGAGCAGCAGTTATCACAGGAACATATATCATATTATCATTATATTGTTCTTCTTTCTTTACAGCACACTTCATTCCAAAATATATCCCAAGACCTTGTAAGTATACTATTATAATAATGATATTAATAATAATGATATAGAGTGTCTTGATACAAACTTTAATACTTATAATCGGTTTATATAATGACGATGAGTCGCGTTTACCAAATTTTAATCATTTAACATGTTACATGATAGTCTGTGTCGTTATAAATCGATTAAAGGAAAAAAGAGCAGCAAAAGTTTCTAAATCTATCGGTTCTATTGAATTAATTGTCCCCCAACACATTTTTAATTCTTTGTCAAGAGACAATATAGAAACAATTGCTAAAAAAATATACCACACTAGTTAATTAAACTCACACAGACAGACATCCGCGCACACATACGCACACACACGCACAAAGACAGGTATGCACCAGGAGAAGACAAATGACTGCAAACAAAACTATAGATTTTTTGTAATAAAAGCTCCAATCAGCAAAAAAGAAAAGAGAAAGAAATATCATCAAACATAAATATATATAAGATAAGCTTTTGTCCTACTTCGTCGTTTAGATTTCGATTAAATAACGATTCAGCTAGTGTTTGATTTGAACTTACATTGTCATTTTAATATTAATTTTCGTCTCTGTCATTTTCAGTTTATGTTTACAAGAAATGTAAGTAGTCTCATGTAATATATAACTGTATGCTTCATCTGTACAGAACAGTATTCACATTTTATCAGATGATTTTTGTTCATGCCCTTTACTGAGATGAAGAAAATAATACTATTTTTTTTCGTTCGTCTAAAGCGTTTTCTGGATTTACCTTCATCAGGAACGCTCAAATCCCAAACTTAAAAACTAGGGGTGATAAATTCTTCTTAGACATGTCAGGAGCTATCTGACCTAAAAATACCCCCTCCCTTTACCCCAAAAAAAAAAATTAAAAGCCAAATCCATATTTTTTTAGTTTTGATAAAGCAGTCTTTATTTCTAGTTTTGTCAGGTACACACAATGAAGGAGTACCTTACCGAAATCAAATCAATTAAAATGACACTTCATTTGAACTTTGGTGGACAGTTGTCTCGTTAGTATTCATACCACATCTCCTTATTTTTTTATATTACTTGCATGTAAGTTTCTACTTCATAGTAACGTTTTTGATAATGTTATCCATCAGAGTCAATCAGGAAACGTCAAACAATTAATTTGCATTAATGATTGATTGTTGTTTGCTTAACGTTAAGTCGCAAATCTTTCACGTATATTCGGGACGACCAAAATTAAGTAAGAACATTACCAAGAATTTGGTTATTTGACTCCAGTATTGACAATTTCTTGCGAAAAAAATAATCAGCTCTAAGGCTCAATTGAAACAAATTTTGTTTTAATGTTCATCAAAATTTCTATTAACCCGCATTTTTTATGTTCAAAATATTCATTAAGCAAAATTTAATACAATTTGCATATATTCATAAACGACTCTACAAATATTATCCGTATCATATAAAGGTGTCGGCTAACTTCCGACAAGGTCCAAATAATGTCCTTTTCGAAACATATTATACGCACAGCAGTTTATAAATAAGCTTCAAATTTACCACAAAAGTTAAGCAAATTTGGAATATCTCTAAATAAAATAATATAGGACATGGCCTTGAATGCATTATTATTTTATAAGTTACATGTGGTTGGATTTTTCTTGTTTTTCATTCGTTTATTTTGTCACGTGTTTCCCAATATATATTTTGTATGTTTTCACTATTTTGACATATTGACTCGACGCTGGGACATAATATATTGTTAGTATAATAGTCCCAGCTCTATGTTACTATATTTAGAATTGTTATAGACTCCATATTACTAAAAATAGTAACATCGAGTCAATATCATTTTCAAACTTACACTATTTACATATGTAATATATAAATTAAGGACTTTCACTCAGTCAATACGCTATATATGTACCTATTAGATTATATTGAACCTCGGACTTCGTCCTCGGTCAATATATTCTGAACAGGTCCATAAATAACGTATTGACCTCGTAAAAGTCCATAATTGATAAATAATGTGTACGTGAGCAAGAACAAGGCGTCAAATTATTAGACAGATCATGCATATATATCATCATTTCATATACCAATTAGACATATTCAAATCTATTTACAGTAAAAAAAAAGTACAAATTTTTGACCTATTGCCAATAAAAACAAAATAAAATAACGATAATTATTTCTATTTTGACGAATATATCAAGATTTATTGTGAAATTAACATATGGTATCCCTTGGGCTGTGTTTAAAGGATATGTTCTCAGATGATGACTCATGTTTTATGGCTACCATCAGAAGTCCATTACTAGACTAGTAATGGACTTCTGCTACCATTTATAACCATCCAGGATTGCTTAGAAAGATATATAAATAACAAGTCAATGGATATACGAAATATCGATTCCTATTCCAATTTCATATTAAGAAATATATTTTCTCTTTGAATGTTGATATCATTTGTGACTTAAAACTATTGTAATGCCTGCAGACCTGGAGCATACGCCTATCTACGATCTGTGTTCCTGATTGCCATTCAAAACAATTGTTTTTGCTATCGTGTCGTTCCGATTGCCTATGCAATATAATGGATTTAGCAATCGAATACATCAGATTTCGCATCTGTGTCACCTGTTACATTCACAGACACGTACCGATTTCACAATTAGGCTGCAAGCGGGTATCAAGTCATAATTACAATGTACTTTTAATGTAAACGATTTCATTTGAGCTAGTCCTGCCATTTCATTTGTCCGATCACACGTTAATTATTGTAGAAGATCGTTTATTTAGAAACAATACACTGAAAACTTTTGTTTTAAACATCTAAATTATTAGAAAAAAATAGATTCACATATGTTGCAAAATGTTTAATGAATATTATGTTATCCAGTCAATAAATATAAGAAACTTTTTACTCAAAAAAGGAATTAACTCAAAATACAATTAATAAACGTTTATACGTTAGTGTATGTATGTGATCTATATTTATGATTGAAATGAAGTTTGAAACAAAACGCTTTTTATGTTACATATGTATACTACGTATAATTAACCTACACTAGCCAGACCTAATGAATGAGTCCAAACGATGTAGGTGTAATGAACTAGAGACCAACGCGCGGCCTTCAACAATGAGCAAAACCCATGCAGTATTGCCAGCTATATAAGGCATCGACATGTCAAAATGACATATCAAATTCCGAAACAATAATTTGCATTATTTTCCGTTATGAAATATGCTGATCTTTTTTTTTTCATTCTTCCCTCTGAAGATCTTACTGACGATACTTGAACGTTTTTTACAGGGCCAGTACCAATTGTTAAAAAGGTACCAATGTTTAAAACTGTAGTTGTTAAAGAAAAAGTTCCAGTACCAAAACCATGTAAGTATTAGGCCATCATAAAATAGTAAGGTGTGTTTATAAAATATTTAGTGACTCAAGATATAAAAAGTACAGAAAAAAAGTAAGACCCATTGTATGCAAAGTTTTTTTATTTTAAACTTCGTTCCTTTCTTTCCGATCCCCGAGTATATGTCGATGAAATTAACAAAAGTGTGAAGATATCAAGGGAGCAAACAAAAAATATAAGTATAAGAAGAACAGATAATACCCTGACAGAAAGAAAAAAAAATTACACAGAATACAAAAGATTAAGATCAATCAAAATATGGGCGAACCAAGGTGTTCCGGAGGGTTAAGCAATTTAACATCAATAGTACTACCCGTGTCGTTGCTCATTACAAGTTAAATCCATTGAAAAATAGCATATCAAATATACTATACACAAGTAAGGATATTAGAAAGAACAACATAACACCGAATCGTAACAGTGTGTAATAAATAAAGGTAACAGTAGTATACCGGTGTTCAAAAGTCATAAATCGATTGAGAGAAAACAAATCCGGGTTACAAACTAAAACCGAGGGAAACACATCAACTATAAGAGGAAAACAAAGGAACAACAGGAACACTGAGGTGCAACAAATACAAACGCCAACATACATAGAAACGAACTATTTGATAACAACTGCCATATTAGGACATTTTAAGAAAAAATGGTGGGTTGAACCTGGTTTTAAACTTTGCAATCTTAAGTTGGATATGTTACTTTACAATTGATACCACATGCTAATTATGGTCCATCTAGCAATATAATGCGGTTTTCCCTGGCTGTGACACTTGCTACTAGTAAATGCTAAGCAGGAGATGCGTACTCCGTGGAGACGTCTGATCTTACTTCATTTTGAGAAAAAGCTATTCCGACTATTTTCACTTTGTTATTTACTTTGATATCGGTAAACCACCTTGGTATGTTTTTACCTTGATATCGGCATACCACCCTGACATTCTTTACCTTGATATCGGTATACCACTTAAATTTGTTTAACCTTGATATAATCGATGTACCGCCTTGATATTTTTTACCTCGGTGCCGGTAAACCCCCTTTATATTTTTTATCTTGATATATTTTTTCTTTCAGTCCCTGTGTATGTACCAAAAGAAGTCATCAGATATGTAACAAAAGAAGGTAAAGGCAAATAATGATATTATGTAGATATTAATTTTGTAATGTTTGTTGGTTTCAGCTTCACATATAGGATAATTAAATAGAGTTTGAAATCATTTCAACATATCTAATATTATTGTTGAACTGACTTTCAATTCAAGCGAATGCACTTTTGTCTATAAAGAAACAAAGAAACCAAATTGATTTATTTATAGAAAACTGCAGCGATCATTCCGAAGTCTGAATTCGTGGTTCTGAAAATTGTATAATGTTTTCCAAAGTCGAATTTTCCTCGGCAGTTGTCATTGGGGCAAGGTCAGGCTTTCCAGATATCGTAAAGTGATAGATATTCGTGAAACCTAAATGTGCACGCTGCATAATATTATCAATTACATATACCAACTGCCAACATGACATTTAAATTAATTTGTTTGTTTTATTTCATTTTAGTTGAAGTACCTAGACCTCATCTTGGTAAGTTAAATAAACTGATTTATCTTGATGAATATGATAATGACGCCTTTCTGAAAATACAAATAAATAGTTTCGAAAAAGGAATATAAGGTGAAGAATGTAATTCATACAATGGATATGTCGTTTATAGTCTCAGTTTCATAAGTAAAATATTATTTACAACTGTAACTATTAACCCGCTGAGAGAAGAACAATAATTTTCTACTGCATTTTTGCAATTTTGCATATCTAACATTGTTGGTAAAATTTCATCCCGCTGCAGGAAGAACAAACATTTGCTACAGAATTGACATTTTCTACAGACAGGAAAAAAAATACAAAAACATAGAATTCTGAATCGATAATGATAAAATATATATATGAAAAAAATGAAATTAAATCAAACAAAAAGACAAATGTTTCGTCAGTGTCGTTCTTTTTTTCAAAAATAGTCCATAGTACAATGTATATACATATGCATACAATAATGTTTTATTACCATGCGATATTCACCAATCTTTCAGTTAAAGTACCACAACCCTTCCCAGTTGTTCAAACCAAAGTTGTAGAAAAAATTGTACCAAAGGAAGTAGGAGTACCTTTCGCAGTACCACAAGCAGGTATAGATATAGTATTCTCTGGGAATTTGTCATAGATATGCAAATTTTTAAAAATATTTCCTTGGTGAATTTCTGTTAGCAAACAACTGAGATCTCATCGTAACAAAGAAAAGTACACAAAAATAAAAATGCCATTCAGGTTGTCCCACTATTATAATTATAAAGTTAGAAAAATATGGAATTAATTAAATGAAAGTAATATTGAAATATTTCTGTTATTTAAAGAATATATCGCTAAAATGTGTCTGACTTCCATCGCCCTAATTTTTGAATTTCTTGTTGAGATGCCCCTTTTGCATAATGACTGGTAGCTTAACCGTTATTGAAATAATTTAGAGGAGCACACAATTTACTTTTACACATCAAATATATAATGTATAAGAATGAAAAGCGTTGCAAATGTAAAATGTAATGTTTGATTGTTATCGTTTCAGTTCCAGTTCCAGACCCAGGTAAGAATCTTTAACTCCCTCACTGTCAAAAGCCGCTGACAAGAGTCCTGCATGAGTATACGAGTGTCTAGATGGGGTTAACAGAGTTGAGAATAATGGTCGAAAAAAATAAAGAATAGAGAAAAATGGACAAAAAAAATAGTAAAGATATAACCATGCAGACACAAAAAACAAACAGAAAGAAAAGATCAAAAACGTTCAACGAATGTTTCAAATATTTATTAGGAAAATAAAATATGAAAATGATTTATTTTATTATAGTATCACATATTTGTGTACAAAGTTATATACAAATTATATAATATACTTTGTAAAGTGGTAAAAAAAAGACAAATACCCAGCCAAAGCTGGCTTATGAGACACTATATGTATATATATACATTAGGCTTATCATTATTTAATTTCAGTACCAGTTTTTCCTCAGACAGTGAACACTGCTCCTGTAGATTTGGGTACACAAGTTATTGGTAAGTGTTTCTGTATAACTGTAGATTTGGGTACACAAGTTATTGGTAAGTGTTTCTGTATAACTAATATCGGTTACCCTGTATGGGTACCCTGTATGGGTATGAAAACGTAAGTCCATTTTCCCATGTATTTGTTTCATTCACAAGGTCAAAATCTAAAAGTTGTCAAATGCTACTGGAATATTAGTATTAACGAGTCTATATCCGATTTTGATCTATCTTGGGTCGTTTATAGTTTGGTGATCTCTTTAAAAATAAGCCTTAACATTGTTTTAACTTCAAATTACACATATGGAGCTGCGATACTATGACTAAAAGCAACGATTGAAAGGCTGAGAAAAGATAACTGATTTGAAAAATTCAGAGGTGTTAGACCATACTTCTTAAGGTGCATTTAATTTACCAAAACGTTTCCATTCTACCTTAACTGTTTACATACGTTTGTAAATAATTATAGTTTTTATTCTCTCATTAGGATGAAAATTTTTGCCGCATTTTTCATATGATTTTGTACATCCCCCGTTTAAGAATTTTGATACAGGATACTAAACGAAGAAAATATTTGGTGAAATTCGCATTCACGATGCATATAAAGTGCCTTGTTATAGTTCGTCAATCTAAATTGTTTTTTGTTTGGTAGGATATTATGCATACAATAAAAGTATGCTTTTAATCTAACAGTATTCCAATGAATGTTTTTTTTAAATAACCTTCGATTAAATAAACTCTCTTAATCTACTGTTCTATTGAACATTCCAGAACAAGGATTTGGTGGTCACCAAGGTGGAGGTGGAGGTGGTGGTCATGGAGCTGGAGGCGGCGGACAATGGGATCAGGGACTAGGAGGCGGAGCTGGTGGACAATGGGGTCAGGGATTAGGAGGCGGAGCTGGCGGACAATGGGATCAGGGACTAGGAGGCGGAGCTGGCGGACATTGGGATCAGGGACTAGGAGGCGGAGCTGGCGGACAATGGGATCAGGGATTAGGAGCAGGTGGACAGGATTTTGGACGTAAGTAAAGAAATGTCATATTAAAAAACTTAATAGCGAGAAGCGTCTTTGGTGAATGAAACATCTGAAATATGATCAGAAATGCGACATTACGTTGTAAAAACCTCGAAGTACACACGTGAAACACTGATATCGCTAAATTAATCCAAGATGAAAATGGCCATGTTATGAAATAGATTTAGAGGAAATCATCCTTCCCCTTTTCACAAATGGTATTTTTATAATTATTTGGTTTTATATTTTTATATATTTGATATTGCAAAATTGAAATTATTATTATTGTAGAATGATAGTGTACATTCTTTTTGTTTATTAAATAATCATGCTTTTCAGTTAAATTTCTATTTTAAACTAGCAAAGTGGAAGAGAAAATTTTGTTTCAAATGTAGTTTCAAAAGTGGGCATCAAAATCCATCAACAGTTTTAGTAAAATCTAGTACTTATAAAAACAAACCATCTTCTTACTGACATTTTTATGAACAAAATCATGAACAACCACGTTTATAAAGTTAAAACTCTCAGATATATCAGTAACGGAAATCTTTCTGAAAAAAACCGAACGAAAACTTAAAAATTAACGTGATAGAAATTTTATAAAAGTTCACACTTTGAAATAAATTGAAAAGAAAATAGATAGAGTGAGAGACCCATATTCGCCGCATAATTCGTTCATTTCCACTTACATCCGACCTACATTCGAATATTTGGAACTTTTTATGAAGGTTTCAGATATTTAACTATATGAAAAAAATGTTTGATAAAGAAATTATCTTCAAAACATTGGTTAATTGTTCTAAAAACGAACGCAAACTCAAGAGGAAATCAAGTTGTTCGTGTGCCATGGGGGACACATTTTCGCCGCAATGTATGATATGACCATCCTCATTATCCTGGTATATTATAAAAACGAATGATTGCAATTACATGAATTAGCTTGAGAGATCATTACTATACGATTTTTCTCACAAATATTTACTTTAAGACTGCGCATGATTGCCATATAAATCTTACATAATTGCCAAAATCATTTAAAACACCTGCGTATTTCTCAATATGTGCGAATTACCTTGGAAATGGGGGTAAAGAGGAATATCAACAGTTGTAACATTACAAACAGCCTTAACCATCTATTTAGGCAAGTATTGGGTAAAGCCACACACATTTTACAGAAAAAATAGCAAAACGGCGAAAATGTGTCCAAGGCGAATATGCGCCACCCACTCTACATTTGTTCATAATACAAAAAGAATGGAAATATTATTATGACAATTAAATGCTGATGAACTAGAGTCAGACATAAACTTCCTTCCCCGTCACATCCAATAGCGAACCATCAGTTTATGAAAAGAGTAAATTCATATTGGTTTTATTTTAATAACAGCAAAAAGGGGTGATATGGGGTCAGTTAATTGTGAGTAAAGTTACACCAAAATTATTAATGCATGCAAATCAAAAATAAATATTTAGAGCATCAAGGGGTAGCTAGCATGTATGTCAGACAGAAAGATAGCCAAGTATGAATTTCCATGTGGAACATTTTAATCATGTTGAACTTGTTAGTTTTTAGCATGTAGTTATACACAGATAAAAGTAAAAAATGTTTCAATTTATTTTTCCTAATAAATGATTTTCAAACAGTATTTACAATTTTGCAAATCAACTTTTCATGATATTTATTTTTGCAATTTGGAAATTTTGTTTAATTACTGAATATATGCGTTATTTGTTGATAAATGTATTTTAAAAATTAATATTCACGTGTCTTATCAACAAATTATACAGTTTCGAAGATATTTCAAACAGCAACAGTAACTGTTTCTAATAATGACATTATGGTGACTTATTCATTAAAGTGTTAAATAATATCAAAATACTATTTTTCAGTTGGACCTGATCCATTTGCCCAAGGAGGTTAGTAAATATTTTGATAAATTTGATTCTATTCTCTTTCTTGTAAAACATATTATTATACTCTCTTAAATGTTATTCTGAACTGATGGATTGAGGATTTATAATTTGTTGAGTTTTTGAAAAGATATTGGTTGGTAATTTCTGAAATCAATGTCACATTGAACACACTCGATGGGGCCAAAAAATTGAAAACAACACGTTATAAATGCCATGCGTCCGAAGCGCTTTTCTGGATTTACCTTCACCAGGAACGCTCAAAGCCGAATATTTGAAAGCCATGAATGTATAATAACCTAAACAGTTGAAGAGCTATATGATCAAAAAAGAACACACTCGATGGTGCAATTGATATTCAGCGAAGCAATGTATCCAGTGATTTTCTGCAATCTTCATTTTATTGAAAGAATTACGTGGAAATGGACTATGGCCGCCGATAAGTTTGAAAACAATATCGTATATTATATACATTTTATAATTTATTTTAAAGTTGATTAGTCTCGAGCCAGTTTAGAGCTTGGCAAGTGATAAAGACACTTTTGAAATCCGTATTTATGTCGACTTCTATAGATCATCTATTCTATGCCATCTCAATGAATAATTGAAAAGAATACTTTCATTTCGTGTGTCCGATGTGCTTTTCTGTATTTACCTCCATCTGGAACACTAAAACCTAACCATTTGAAAGGTAATGATGTATAAATACGTAGAAACGTTAGGTGCTGTATGACCTTGAGGGACCTAAAATAATAGCCAGATCCATTTAGGGCCATCATTGCCTGAGGGGATTGACTGACGTGCACCCAACACATATTTTACTTATTTCCATTTATTTACGAATTATTTATTTTTAAGGTGGAGCTGACTTTTTGGGAGCAGGTGGAGGTAGGTCACTTGTCAGATGTATCATATAATCTGTAAATTATCCACTTCTAACATTGCAAATTTCTTGTTTCTATAAATTGATTTTAGTGTTTATGTATTTATTTTACCACGGCTGGCATTGATTTATACATGAGATAGCATTTTGTTACTAAATGAATATAGAAATGTATGAAACATGTACTATAGAAACAAGAAAATTTGCAAATTGATTTGGTGTATTGGTATTAACATGAGCATAACATTTTTGACTAGCATGCTAGTAAATTGATTTTGAACTGAAACGGCCATTTTGAATTGCACAGGTCTAACACGATTGGACAATAAATTGATAAGCCATTGTCAGTCTATCAGTCAATTTTCATTCTTTTACACTATTCAGTCCTGATCAGACACATCGCTTGCAGTCAATTAAAATATGTTCAATCTACTTTCAGACTGTTCAGTTGTTGTTATTTAACTATGCACATCAACAAAATAATAAATTGTCTGATAAGCTACTGAACATTATTGAATTAACTACAAACGAGAAGCCTGAGCAGTGCTGATTAACAATAAGAAAAAATCTAAAAAATCACTAAATCTCTTAACAAGACAATGTGTTTAGGTGCAGATTATACAGATGATGTTTAGAACAAAATGGCCTTTTCAAAATGAAAATTATTTTACCAGTTGCCCGTTTAAAGGAGGAGGTATGAGATAAAGCAGAAATCAAATGTTCGAATCCATCCATATTTGCATGTTGCTTTTGATGTAAGATTGAAAAGTCTGGTCACTAATATGCAGAAATGATATTTGTAATGTTTCTGTCACAGACAAGACCATGTTTTATTTTAAAAATTGCGATTTTAAGCATTGGTTAATCAATCATGATTAACAGCCATATATGAAAAGATATTTCATCTAAATTAACAAAAGTATTAGGTTCTTGTTTGACTGAGATTGAATTTATAGCTAATTATAAGTTGATAGAGGCAATTTAACTCAAGTTTTCAGTTTTTTCTAAACTCTCAAGAAGTTTGAAAGAAGCTAACTTATACTGAGGTAAAATTCAATGATATTATCTGTGGCGGATAGTAATCAGACCAATGTCTTTAAAACATTAGAAAGATATTACCTAATAGGTTGATGATATTAAAGCCCACCAACAATGACCTTTTCATACCATCTTTGTTTGAAAAAAAAAATAATGTGTGTTTTACTCATCTGTCACTAGATTTCTGAAGTTATTACTTTCGTTGATATACTTACAATACATTTTTAAATTTAAAAAAAAGTCACTAAAATGGATGGTAAACTAAATATCAATATTACTATGAAAATAAAATAAACAATATCAAAGCAATTTTACAATCTCTAGGAAGTAATCATTTGCCATAATATTATGTAATGAAATTAGCAAATTGAAAAAAAATAATAGTAAGTCTGAGGCATTTGTTTATTTTAGCTGGTGGAATTGTTCCACAATGGGGAGTTTGAGCAGGAGGTAATATAACAAGAAGGCCAGCATATTCATTGACGAAATGAATATGATTTGACTAAATTGGGATTTTTTGGGTGGTAATCAAAAATATTTGTTTCCGAACTGTTTATTCAGGCCACCAATTTAATTTACGTGTAGCGTTTATACTATGAATTTGATATGCATTTAAGCCAATTTACCAGATTGTCGTCTATAAATTTAGGGACTATTTCCTATTCCCTTTTGAACTTTCGATTGAGTCTGAACTCGCATTGCGGAAACGTATTTATAGCAGGAGTATGGCTCCTGATTGAGTCCATGCGAATCTATTAGTTTTCACTTGCTGTGTATACATAAAATGGATTGACAAGATTTGAACATCGGTATTAATATTGTCTCATATATTTGCACTTAAGCTGTCATATATTATTATCTTATCGCGACAAAAATTCGGTAAATATGAAAAAAAAAGGAAGTTGTATATTTAATTTTAACATTGACATAGCAATCCTATTTGACCTATATATCTTTATCTGAATTTAAAAGCTTTGCAAAAGCTTCTATGTTTAAAATATGTTTGTATTAATTTTCGTATTATTCCATGGTTTTTGCAATACAACCTGTTATTTGGGACATGTTTTATATTTTCATCGTTGATCTGATGTTACTTGTTGTCCAGAGGCGTCGGGATGTTTTTAAAGAGAAAACATTTTTTTTTCCTACAAGAAAAAAGAAAAGCAATTTGTTTGTAAATAAAATTTAAACCAAAAAGTAACTTTGAGAGTAATTGGGAAGACCTTACCCCTCCACCCGTTCCATCGCTCATGATTTTACTCTTACAACTAACAATTATCAAAGTTACTTTTAACCTTTTAAGTAACTAAAAAACTAACCTCTTAATTCCACCTTTATTCATTTTAGTTGGTGGAACAATTAAACAAGATTTATGGGGACTAAACCCAGGTAATTTTACATAATACCAGAATGTTATGTTAAATCATGATGTACCAATATACGAATTAAAATGGTATATCACATTTTCAGAAATTATAGTCTCTGTTAATTCTCATAGATATATTCTTGAACGTGGAAATAGAAAAAAAAGAAAGACATGAACGTGAAAAAAATCAAATTTCGTATGAAAAGATAGAAATAAGTTCATCATTTGAATGCCGCAATCTAATTTCATGAACATAATTACGATAAAGTATGTACTAAAGAGAGAATTGATATCCCAGTAATTGCCACATACTCTAATGAAAATTAAGCAACCGAGTAACAGGTGTATAAAAACCCAGGGAGTGATCTGAGATGGCAAGAGTAACTGAAAATGTGGAATAATGATATTTCAAAACGGTGGAATTAAAACAGCAGTATTTTCCTTCTTTAATGGAAGTTCAGAGACAGATAAATAGCTTAAAATGAAAGCAGAAGCTATTAGAAATTGTTTTAACCTCTGATATATGTGTCTCCTTCGGGTATGAAAAACAGACCAGCTTCTTATAACAGATCTATTGCAAATGGCAACTAGAAGATGTTCGCGAATTAATTCTCAATAATATATTTTTAAAATAAAAGTATTATATAAAGTTTGCACGGAATTATGATTATCCATCAATATTAACTCACAGCAGGGGAGGACTTTAATTTCTTAGAATAATGTGTAATTATCTTAAACAAAAAATGCAAAACTATTATTTGTTTGGTATATTTCTAAGAAACTAAAAACTAAAAGCAAATAAATAGTCAAACAGTCATGCACTAGATAAAAGCATATATAAGCACTCATTAATGGTATGTTAATTGCAGTTTTGCATGTCCATACTTAATGCTTTTTGTTCCTGATTAATGCATGTTCAAACTTGTGACAATTACTAACCATAACTTTCTCGTTTGCAATTAATTTATAAAATAAAACGTTACGGTAAATAACCTTAGAAATAAACAAAGTGCAGTAGACTAAATGACTTCTCATGTCCCATTCTCAAGTGAAATCTTCCAGGATTTTTTTTTGCCATAAAATATTGAATCTGCATTGTTTCTTTCCCTTTTCTCTAGCATCATTACAAAGGTTGTTTTATTAAAATGTAAAACCCATGTTTTGATAGTTAAAAAAACGGATAACTGCAAAATCACGGGATGATAACAAATACTACAAAAGAACGTTTTATGATTAACATGTATGTATACTTATTTTTCAGTTCTTGATGGCGGACTAAATTCTCTTGTAAGTATTTTATGGTAATTTTATCATGTTAAAGAATGCTGGAAGGCTATTAAAAGCAACATTAAAATACATCAGCACTAAATTGAAGTATAACACCGAGAAACAAAGTTAATAGCAATTCTCAGATTTTGAAGTCATCGACAGAAAACCTATTCTATCATAGCATTATCCCTTATACGACAAATGCAAGCTGTTACTCCACCCATATTTGACCCTATGATGTCCCTTCTATACATGCCAAGAATCAAAAGTAAAGTTTCAGCCTGTTAGAAGTTTCTCAAGAAATGACTGATCATCTAGAAAATGGAGCACATGAAATAAGCGAAACCTTTTCTATAGCTAGTTGTTTTAATTTTCTTGCTCAAACGGGAAAAAATTTGCAGTGAGACATTGCTTTACAAACACATCAACACACCAATCCATTAATTTATGTAAATTTTACCTACGGCATAATATTCATATTACAACATTTTTGCAAATTAAATTTACATATTGAATTCAATTCAGTGTGCACTATTCCTATGATGTTTTATTTCTTTTCATAGGCTGGTGGTAAAAAGGTGTAAGACGCACATGAAGAATTTCATCACAAGACCGTTACAATCTCAAATTCATTGTTTAATTTTAATAAATTGGTTAAAATGATTATGTGGCATCTGTTGTTGTTTTTTTTTTTTTTGCAAAAGAAACTAGAAAATACAAAGAAAAGGGGAAGAGTAAACGCAAATGTTAACAACGACATACAATGACATACTACTTTATTGCAGTGTTATGGGCACTTAATATGATAGTTAAAGACAATTCAAGTCTTGAATGTAGATATTTATCATTTTTGCCATCCAAATTTCAAATAAAATTTGCTAAATATCGTGTTGGTGTAAATAAAGTTGCAGTTAACACAGTAGTTTTAGCAGAAATAGGAACGTTACCTATTGCTATTGATGCTTTAAAGGCTTCTGTAGGGTTTTGGTGCCATTTGATAAATGCAAAAAAAGAAAGTTATGCTTCAAATGCCTATAAATGTAGTTGAAATTTACGTAATGGTTTTGCAGCCAAATTGAAAAATGTTCTTTCAAAAATAGGGTTCAATCATGTATGGGAAAATCAAAATACTTTCTCAAAAAATGCCTGATTAATGCTGTAGGCAACAAATTAGCTGAAAGATATACAGATTTCTGGAAAAACAGTCTTTAAATGAACAAAATAACCCTAATGGAAACAAACTAAGAACATACAGATAATTAAAAAATGATTATAAACTAGATTTTGTTTTGTTAATAGATTTATTAAACCTATACATGATATCTAATTTTATTAAAATAAGATTAAGCAATAGGAATATAAATATTGAACAGGGTAAACACCGTAAATTACCTCTGGAAAAAGATTATATCTCTTCTGTAAAAATGGGGTTGAAGATGAATATCATTTTCTTTAAATGTCAAATTTTAGAAAAACGTAGGCAAACATTTTTTTCAGGAAGTAGAGAGTATAGTTTTAGCTTTCAACAAAATGTCTAATGAGGAAAAATTTATATTTATATCTTCATTTAATGAGTATGACATCACTAAAATTATTTTTAACGGGGTTAATGATTTATATGTACTAAGAAATAGCCTAGCTGGCAAGAAAAACTAACTTTGTAATACAAATTTGTGATTATTTTCTATTTTTCATATATATTTATTATGTTATATTTTATAACAATAGCATTAAGAATATTGTTCTTTTACTTTCAAATTTGCAAAAGTACCACCTCCTAAAATATATCTAAATATATGAGATACTTATATAATATAAATGTTGCTTAAATTTAAATATTATATGTTTTTTAAATATTGTCATGTTTGTCTTGGTAACAACCCAATATTTGGATTTTACACCAATAAAATGATTTGATTACAATGACATAACCAAAGGCAAAGATGTACATTTACTAGCGTGACTGGGTCGATACCACTACTAGTGGACTGTTTGTCCCTAAGGGTATCACCAGCATAGTTTTAGTCAAACTGTGATGTTGACATAATTGATATCATAATTTCTAAAATTCTGTGTTTAGAAATTAGAAATTATTAAGAAACTATAAGGTTCCAACTCCCTAGGCAAAGTTGACCTAGATGAATTTGGCTATTCTTATTATGTCCGTTGCTGTCATACAACACACAGTTTATACATATTTATACACCCATGGCTTTCAAATGTTTAGGAGGTGACCTCCCGATGAAGGTAAATCCCGAAAAGTATTTCGGACGCAAGTATTTTCGGATGTTATTCAGATTGGTACGCACCTAAACCGTATTTACGCGTTGGGGAGATGTATTTAATGGATCTGATCCAGATGTTGAGAATGGTAAACTGAAAGAAAAGGGTACATGCAGTAAAGATATGATGTTTAAAATGATTTTCAAGAACGATTAATGCAGATATATTTTTTTTATGAAAATCAAATAAAATGCATGCATGACAAATTCTTTTTTTCCCTCAAATAAACAGACATTCACAAAATATCGCATTCATATTACAGCTCTTTTCATAATGCTAGCAAGACAAAGAATTGTTTGGCTTGCTTGCTTTGTTTGCGTCAATGTTTGCTCAAGCATTGTAATTAAGATTGACATATGAAAACAACATAAAAAGGCGGATTTAAACTTTTATACATTATATTTAAATTTGATTGGACATTATCAAATAATCAAATTTACCTATACACAGATTTAACTCCGCCTACTTATATTGTTTGCAGCTGTTAATCTTAATTACAATGCTTAAGCAAACATTTATACAAACAAAGCAAGCAAGTCAAACAAACCTTTGCCTTGCTAGCATTATGAAAAGAGCTGTAAATATCATGTAACATTTGCTTGATTTCGCTGTCATGATTGTTTCTCTTCATCCTGAGACTACTATAACACATATAGTAGTCTCAGCTTCATCACAGCATCACGTGACTTCTAAGTAATACAACGTTCAATTCTGTTTTCTAGATATTCATTTTATTTATATAGTGTTCAATAAAATCGGGTATCCGAAAAACTCGGCCTCGATTTACAATTGATATAATAGTACCCAAGTGACTAACCCTCAAATTCGGTGTAGTTAACTTATGGACCAAATATAGAAGAGTGCAGCTATGTTTTAAACTGACGATGGAGTGAATTCTTCTGAGGTTCGTGAACAATTAAAAACGATTCTTCTTATGAGTGGAATGGAAACAAAGAGAGTAACTTATTTAATTTGGTAGCCTTTCTATACAACACAAGATTTTTTCAACATAATCTGTTAAACCAGAATCATCTTCTGTAACAGATCATTATGCGGCAATCTAATATTTCTAGTATATATAAAAGATACCAAAGGAACATTCAAACTTACAAGTCGAAAATAAACTGACGATGCCATGGCAAAAAATGAAAACGACAAAAAGACAAACAACAGTACACAAAACACAACATAGAAAACTAAAGACTGAGCAACACAAACCCCACCAAAACATGGGGTGATCTCAGGTGCTCCGGAAGGTAAGCAGATCCAACTCCATATGTGCCACCCGTCGTGTTGCTCCTGTAAGTATAAACCCGGTGATGAGTCTAATTCAGTAGGTCGCTTCGGGGGAAAAGAAAACGGAATTATGGTTACGACAATAGCAGCATATCCGTCGTCATTTGTGAAACAGATATTTCATAACGGTCAACCAACTTGTGATAGCGTTTTTCATAGTTGTGATAAATATACTTTGTCGTAATTTTTACTGACAAATAACAAAATTGTTATCAAATGCACCATGTTTTGATGATCCACTTTTTGAAGTTGTGAATGGAGTCTTCTAACGCAAAGTGTTTAGTTTTTCTTCTTAGTAAGATAAAACATTTGAAACAATGCATATAGACTTACATATTTTGATTTTTCAACGTCACCTTCCTACTGTTGAACCATCCCAAAATTCATGGTAAAAAGGCTGACATGCTTTGGAGTAGGGATCTTAAAGTTTTGCAACAGTACTGCCGACCATGAAATAATGATAAAGTTCGATGTCCATGGTTAATTCCATTTTCCAAAATTCAATTACTTTTCAGAGTTATGCCCATGGATTTCTCTTAAAATGGTAGAAATTTTCTTCGTATTTTGATTTCAGTTCTCTTTCAGATAAAGTCCTTGCTTTTTTGCGACATTATTTCGTACTATAAAATGTAGCATCATATCTGAGAAACAGCCAATAAATGCCCTCCATTTTAGAATTCATTCATTCATACATTTATTTATTATTCAAAATTATCAGTCAAAATGTGTTCTACAAGGATCACCAGTCCTTCACCTTTCATTTGATACCTAAATTACCAAAATATATTCTTCAAAGTTTGATATTTACACCTATGCGTAGGAACTACTTTGTTTTAAATATGTACTAATTTCCAGTATGCTCTTTTTGACCGGACCCGATTTGGTGATGTTATATCTTACAAAGTCTATCCGAATTATTTTTGCAATAATTTCGAACAAGCCAGTACTAGGCGCCGTCTGAAACTTGAGTTGAGAGTTGTTATGCTCCGTGGTGAAGGCCTCACTGTTACTTTGAGACGAAGGACAACAATAAAAGCGCTGTTCCTTTGCTTTTAATGTGTTTTTGCTGTGCATGTACTGATTCTGTGCCATGGAAGGATACACCATATCCTTTGTTTTTCTATTGTATCGGAGTTTCACCTTACCATTTCGGAGTTACGCTAAATGAATTATCGTAAAAGATAGTAATTTAAGTTTCCTTCAAGTCGAAATTTTAAAATTTGTAAAAGTACTACAATGACAGTTAACTCCTATGAACCTAGGTTTATGTTACATGGAACTTGTGTTATCCTTGTCCCTCTGCACTTTCTTTTTGTACAATAATACATACAATCATTCATTTTTTTTTAATTTCAATTCACTAGCTAGAGATATTAACACTCTATAGATTTGATGCGTCTGAAGAAGTCCTTGACGATTTTTTTTGTTTGTTGTTTCTATTTAATCTAATTCTATAATGTATGTACGCATAATTTTGGCTACTGGATTCGAATTATAGTCACGCTAACCAATTATGTTTGTGCGTGTTGCTCACACTATTTTCGTCAATATAATTGAACTATAGTCAACTATCATACAAGTGGGACTTTTAGCTAACCATAAAACCAGGTATAAACCACCATTTCTCCGGAAAATGTCAATACCAAGTCAGGAACATGACATTGCTGTCCTGGCAAATAGTACTGCAGACGCACAAGGAATATTAGACATAGTACAGCACCATACAAGCAGAGATCTATTTAAAATCAATCCAACTAAATCTGAAGCGGTTTTATATAATGCAAAAGGCTCAAACATAACAACACTGCAATTCGAAGACGATGACATCAATATAACCAATGAAACCAAACATCTAGGTATCAAAAGAAACGAGCAAAACCGGGCAAATATCTCTGAAAGAATAAGAACCGGCAGGGCAACAATATACAGCCTTCTCGGAGCCGGTTTACATGTCAGAAGGGGATTCTCACCCATGGTCGCATACAAGCTATGGAGAACATATGCAGTACCAAGAAGCATCTACGGACTTGAGGTGATGAACTTATTTGCAAAAGAAAAGGATATGCTAGAACTGGCAGAGAGAAA